TTTAAGGGAGAGAGATGTTTTGTAATGTGAAAGGTCAGGTTTTCCATACTCAGAGGTTGACTGTGTTTATCTGGGAAAGGTAGATAGTAACTCTAACTCGGCTTTCACAGACCATGGCCATACTTCCCATGACACAATATGCCATTATGGTTAGGGCTGTAGAGAAAAAAGAAGAAAAAAAAACCATTTTTTTTTTGTTTCAAGTAGCACTGTGTTATCATTTTTCAAAGTATGTGTTGGAATGCTCCTGTTATTTTTGTTAGCTGTGAGGAAGGATTCCTGTCTGCAGCTTTTCTTTGGGTCTCACCATTTATAGCCTTCAATAAGTTTACTTTTTGCATATGGTCCTGTTTCCTTTGTGCAGTTGTCTTTTGTTCTTTTCAAGATAGTAGATTGGATCCATGCTCACATAAGGATTCATGCCCACTCCCACACCCTTCCCAGTTCTCTGAGCTGCTGAGGTGTAGCATTTTAAATAGAGTTGAATAGATGGTATTGATTAAAAATAGCATCTTGAAAAGTGAACTTTTGTGTTCAAAGAAGAAAACACAGCACCAAAACAAAACACATTTATCTGTCAGTTATTCCTACATAATTCCTGTCGTGCAGGTATTAGTCAAGATATGTAACATATAGGAACTTTTCTCCAGCATATTTGTTTTACTTGCTGATTCACAAGCATGAAGTCACAAATAACAAGTTGCTCTAGCAACAACTTCAGACAGTGCCTATGCCTTCCACATATTTATAGGGACTGATTGCACTTCCATATACATTTTTTTCCTTATCATAGAAGTAGTAGTTACATAAAAGCAGATGATTCTCCTACAATAGCCCTGTATGGCACTGCTCCTAGTTTGTTTTCTTCAAAAGGCAGCAGGTTTTTTTTATTGCTGCAAATGATCCTGCTCAGTCACTGGGACCTTGTGTTGACATCTGGGAGAGAAAATCATGGAGAAATCTTTTGTAATACTGTTCAAGATGTCTATTCTCACCATTGTTTGCTGTCTTGGTACTGCAGTTTATGAAGGTGTCAGATAAAGCATGGGACATTTATTTTAGGTTGCTGTGTGTACTGAATGGTGTCAGGCTCAATGCAGGACTCTCAAGAAGTCTCCTGGAAGTGCAGCATAATACTAATGTTGTGTTATATCTTTTGATTGTGACTCCTCTTGGTGGAAGCTCCTGACCATTTAGGATGTTAAAGCTGCTTTGTGCCTTGCCAGGGGCAGACTGAGCGTTTGGGTGATTGTTGGGGTGTGAAGCTCAAAGCCAGGTAAAACCAGGAGTGATTATTGCTCTTGGAAACCTTGAACAACATGGGCATGGGGACCTTGGAGTTATTACCTTGTGTATTGCATTCAGAGGTAACTCTCCTAGAACTCACAGGTCCTCTGCATAGCTGTAAGATGATGCTTCCTGAAGGTGCCACCTTGTGAGAACGATGGTGTTAAACAGCCTTTCGTCTTAATTGTCACTTACCCATTGCTTAATCCTGGTCCAAAGACCTATTTTTTGCTAATAACATTGAGTGCCAGATAAAATTCATTCTGCCCTAATAGTCTGCCACTTCTTCCTTACAATGTTTGAGTTATAATAGGTATCTAACTATCTGCTTTTTTCAAGAACTACTTTCAATTCTGCTGTTACACTGGACAATTTTCCTATCCTTTGCTTCTTTGGGTGAGATGAATGTTTTCCTGCTAGCTGTAAGCCTGAAGTTAAGCTCTGGAATACAAATTGCTGGAGCTGGGATGACTGCTTTCAGAAGATGAGCATGAGGTGGTTGATGTCTTGAGTTTATGGTCAGCGCATTGGTTGCAACAAAACATGCCCTGGGAGAATCAGAAGGGAGAGTCTATAACCCGGGCTGAGGTAGCCACCAAATATGTTTATCAAATTCATAATGTCTCCATTTCTGAAAGGTGTAAGGAAGCAAAATGGAGAGCAAAGTAACCGTGTTAGCGTCTATCATCTCATCCATCTATGGTGAGCAGGAGGGACAGGTATTTTTGAAAAATACCCATGACTGGATGAAAGTGTAATTTGACCATTCTCAGTAGGTTGTTTGTAAATAAACTTTTTATTGAAGGACCCCTAATATATCTTATGTATACCTACCACATTTCTTCAAGTGAGCCGTGAGCTCTAATTTGCTGACATATACTGGGATAACACTGAGATACATTGTTAACACAGCATAATGAACATCGCAACATACCTTGCCTGTATATCTTTGGATCACCATCCTGAAGACCATCTGAGTAAAAATGTGTTGTAGAGGAATTATGAGACAATAGGGAATATTACTTTGAAAAAGAAGATGGACTGATGCAATCAGACCATGGTAGCACTTCGTGATGGATTAGTAAAGTGATTTGAGAGCTGATCTTTTTCTCATAGCAACAAGAAAAATGAAATTTCTGGTTTTAATAAAGTTTTTGTTTTTGTGTTCAGTTTCTTGCTGTAGTGTGGTGCATCAATTTTTGTGGTAGGAATTGTATCCTTGTCCAAGTCTGGAGACTGACTACAAACTAATAGTTCAGTTTGTTCCTAACTGCGTTTTCTGATATGTACTTGAAGTTTGGAGTCGATAGTATTGGCCCCACTATTGGCTTTTTCCTTTAGCTAAACAATTTTGCTGAGTAATGACAGTGCCTAGCTATTTTTACCTTATTATCAGGGCAGTTTTATTGTCCTATTGTTTTCCAAGTCTTTAAATAGAAAAAGTTTAGAAGTACACAGTCTAAATGTATTTTTACGTAGCATCAATTAGCTATTCTTGGAAATTCTTGTAACAGTTTTTGTTAAGATATGTACTACTCCCGCCTTGGTTTTGGTACCTACTTGGAAGGATTGGACAAACAGGAAGAGGATTTTCCTGTCTGTATGTAATTGGTAACTATGTGTTGGTCTCCAATCTGTTTGTTTGCAAAAATACTATGGTTCATTGGGAATCTCCTTGTGTGAAAACCATCTTATGAACAAGCCAGCTGTATTTGCTCTGGGACTTGGACAGTAGGATCAAAGCTGGAAGGTAATTGCACAATAAGGAGGCTTGTTAACTTTGATGCACTTGGGGGAAGTGAAGGTTCCAGTTACTGTGGTGGAGAAGCTGAACTGGGAATTGCCAAAGATTTATAATTGTGACAGAGTGTGATGGATTTAAATAGTTTTGTTTGAGATTTGCTGTCTCTGTGAGCTAGCAAATTTTGTTTTGTTTCACCAGTGTGTGGGGTAGAGTCAGCACAACTGTCTAGTTTCAATAGTGTTTATTCTGTATCTCTTCATACTGAATCAGCCTGTAGGATCTGAAAAGACTATTGGTTATTCTTAATAGCATTCATTTTTCTTAGCTTCACTAGATGTTATTAGACAAAGGAATGCTACTTAGTGTAGGGTTACAGTTTTGCAAAGTGTAGCTGTAACGTATGAGGATCAGAACTGTTTTTAGAAAATAAATGTTTTTGTCTCAGGGCTTACTGTGCTCAGACTGATCAGACTGAATGTACCACTTGGTAGTTATCAGCTTCTCTTACAGTCCTTCTTACTCTAAGCCTTTGGGTAGTTATGCCAAATGCCGACTATATTTGCTTGGGACAAATACTCAGTTTACTATTTGGGAACTCCAGCAAGAAAGTATTTGATCCGTATTCAGTGCCAGCTCTCCTTGTAGTTGTCTGGTTCTCTGCTTCTCTGCTTGGTGAGCTGGCCCACATCTTGCTTCAAACTTTCTCTGTAATGCCATGTTCTGCATAGTTCTCTTTCCATTGCAGATCACAGTCAAGTCCTTTTACTGTAGAAGAAATGGCAGTCCTTTTGCTGAGAGAAGAATATGCATGTTGGACTAACAAAAAATGCTTACTGAGGCAGCTGAAACAGGAGACAGTGCCCTGGACAGACGTTGATGCAGAACACTTGTAACCTAGGATGTGGGTGTGATGATAAAAAGTGACCAAGGAGACTTGTTAGGTTAGAAAAATGATTATGTATGTTTGTGGTAGTATTAGTGCAAGTACGGAAGAAAGGTGATTTTCATCTAAGCAAGCAAGGTAGTACTGAATTAAAAACTGGAGTGTTGTTTTAGCATAATTCTTAAACAGTATTAGTAGGTTTCTGATCTGAGTTCAAACTTGGCCAGTAACTGCAGTTTCCAGTATTCTAGTCATGCATTTAAACAAAAAGGTAAGGTCAAACCCTGGTGTGATCTCCTTTGGAGTTGCACATATGAAGAGTATGTATATATACTTGTATGTATATATACTTGTAGCCAGAATGAAACATTATGATGATCTAATGTGACCTCTTACATGAACTGTGCCACATGCTTTTGAATCTTGCAGGTGGACTCAATAACTTGTGATGAAACTAAAGAATACTTCTAAAAGACATGAGGTTTCAATCTTGACTTGTGGTCTTTTAGTGGTGTGAAATACATTGTGTTCTTTAGTTGTGTTTAAGAATGGATGAACTTCAGAAAAATAATCTTAATTTCAACACAGGCTACTAGAGCTTGTGATTACTTGTTGGGCTTTTCATCAAAAATCTCTCTGTATGTGCCTATAGATGATGTTCTCTAGAACTGAACAGACTGAGCTCACCACTGTCCACCAGCAAGGCAGCGCTGCCACAGCTCTGGCTCCCTGCTTGGAGAAGGACTGCTCTCCAGCATCTTACCTGCTTGGTGTCAAGAGGTTTTAAAGATAATGAGTTAGAGTGGGACATATTTACCTCCATTAACTTTCTCCTTCAACTTGAATTCTATTCAGATTAAACCAAGGGAAAGGAAAAATATAAGAGATGTTGATCTCTTTATCTTTTGTTAGGACTTGCTGTTGTCCCAATAAACTTTCTGTAATATTGTAGGTATTACAAGTATTCCTGGATCCCAGTCACCTTTTGACTCTCTCCAAATTGTGGCTACTAAAGTCATCTTTGCTGTAATGGTGAGAAGGTTGAATGTTATATTTTTGCCATCAGGTTAATGCTATATTGCCATTAATGCTGGTTTTCCTACTGCCCTTTTCCTCTCTTGCCCATCCATGTTGTTGTTCCTTACTGGGTGGAACACACACTTGCTATTTTATGAGTCCTTTGTGTCTTTTGATATCATATACTCTTTGACAACCTGTTTCTTCTGCCGTATGAATAACAAATATATTAATACAGTTGACTGGAAATGTAGTATAGTTTTCTTTGATTCTCAGTGGATTCTGTTTTCTTGTGTTGTTGTGCGATTATATTTTTCTGGGAAGACCGCATTTGTTTTTGAGTATGGAAGTGAGACTGAAAATGCATGTCTGTGTAAAATGAGCCTAAGTCAATGAGGAGAAAGGAGGTCTGCTGGAGAAAATTAAGATCAAGGTGCAAGGAAGTCTAAGGTTATGAAGAGTTCCAGCATGCAAATCAGTCTGTGTGTTACTGTCTCTTACAGAGCTTTCTCTTTCTCTGTGAACCCTGTCTCCCTTTGCTGAATGTTACTGCAAATGGGAGGGATTCAGCATTTTTAAGTTCAATTCTTATATTGCCTATTTTGTCTGGTTCTTCATACACATTATACCATACACGTACACATAGTATGTTGGTAAAGACTTTCAGGTGTCTACCTTAGGAATAAAAATCCCCACTGACATTTTCTGTACATTATCCCAGTCTTTCCTGTAGAATGTTCTAACTTGGTTATAATCCTGCACTTTAGTTTCTGTACTCCCTGTTGTCTCCTAGGGTTTTTTTTTAATGATAGATGTTGCTTGTTGAAGAGCTTTCTTCAGCGAACCTCACTTAATAAAGTTGCTGTTTTAAGGGTTAGTGTCTATTACACAGAATTTTCTTGTACAGAGCAGTAACAAACATTATTTCCCTCAGATCTGCTTTATCAAATGCCTCTTCATGCAACTAGAGAGATGTTAGGCCTGCCACTTCATAGCTGGTTTTGTCTTTGTGGAGAGAAGATGAAGTAAAATATAGAAGTCTTTCCAGTAACAAAACACATTACCTAAGTCAAGTTATGTGAGAGTCAGTAAATATCACCTGAGTTGACTGGAAGAGAAGCAGCTTTTGTCTGTGGATCACTTTTCATCAGGCATGCTACCAGTCGACTTGCAGTCTTGTTGGCGTCAAGTTACTTAGCCCACCTTCAACTGCTGACATAACTGGGAACAATTTACAGAATGGTATGGAAAGTGATATTTTGACCTTTTCCAAAGTGGGAATCTGCTAGTAACAACTGTCATCAGGATCAGTTTTTGTGTCTGTGTGTGCAGCTTCAGTCTTGCCCATAGCTGGGTATAGATGAAAAGCTGAATTAAATACTTCTCTTAGCACTGGTATGGCTGCATTAGCATCAGTCCTCCTGAAGCTCTAATGTAACTTAATAGAGGCTCTTTTCCTTAACTGGGGTCAGATACACCTTTCAAAATGGATGTTGGTGGATGACACATTGACGTACCAATTAATACGGTGTTAACCATGCCTTTCCTCTCCTATTTGCTGGGAAATAGAAGAATGTGGAAGTAGACTGTGGGAAATGGAGGAAAGCCATGGTCTACAGCCACTGCTTGGACTACCAGTCTGCAGTGCTTCTGTGTATTCATTGACCCAACCAACTTCAGCTTATGGTTTGAAGAAACTAACCATAAAAAAACACCACCCAAATTCCCCAGTAATCAAAAGGGGGCTGAAAAATGGTAGCTGGGCTGCCAGATGCGAGCACATCTCCCAAGCTTCTCAAGATTGTTAATTTCAAAGGAAAATGAGTATAAGGTCGGCTATCAGCATGTACTTTTTCCTTTGTTTTTTTCACTGTTGGCTTCTTTAGGCTTAGATTTCTGTGATAGTATAAAATTTGAACTTTAAGGCAGATGAAGTGTGATACTGATTTATATTTAATGGCCATAAGTGTTTGAAGTGTCATTTGTTTGCCTACACTACGGCAAGATTCTGGACTCAAGCAGTATAGAGATGTTTATTTTTTCTTTCCACAAAATTCCCAATTGCTCTAGACTAACAGATTTTTACAAATGGAGTTAAATAAAATCTTTGCTTACAGTGATTATATCTAGGACAGCTTGCACTTTAGAAAATACACATTTTTATATTCCCAGCTTCACAATTACACTTTGATTTTTTTGCAAGTGCTTTCACGCAGACTTCTGTGCAAGCACAGAATTGGGACTCCAGCTGTGGACTTTGTCAGTTGAGTCCTAGCGTAACTTCAGGTGTGGTTTTTCCCTTTTAAAAAAACCCTCTAAAATTTTATAAGAAATTTTAATCACACATTTTTTAAAAAATACTCTGGGTTTTGGTTTTTTTGGGACTTTTTTGTTGTCTTTTTCTTTAGTTTTTAAATGAGCCATTTAGGGTGAGGAAAAGCTTATAAAGATTCTTTATTAAATATACATGTGAGGATGTAATGCTGTTGTACAGACTGACACTAAATATGCACTTGCGGTCACATTTACCTTTACGGTCTACATTTCTCTTAAGTCAGAGTCAGGAAAGGAGATAGTGTTTTACTGATAATGTTTCTGATGTCTAATTCTTAGGTGAGGGTAAGATCTTATGTCTTGCCCTTTGGCTGTTTGTTCCCCATTACAGAGATGTTTTCCCAAGTTTTTTGAAAATCCAGGTCTGCTTACAAAGTAATTTATTTTTTATTAGAAATAGATTGATGTTCTGTATTGACTTATCCGATGATGGTTATTATGTTGGCAAGCAAGATTTTATCAAAGTATCCTGAAGAAGGAAAGGGAAGCTCTATAGCAGGGACAGACTGAGGGGATGAATCCACTTACTACCAAAAGCAGCAAATGGATTGTATGGTACGTCAACCATGATAATACTGATGGACTTACTCCATAGTGAGTTGAATATTTTTTGATTCAGAGTTTTGGGAAAAAAAAGTCTAATTACTTTGGGTTTGTGGTGGAAATGTAACTTAGATTTTAGTTGGAACTGGCTAGTTTTCTGATCTGCAGAAAGTCCAGATACTCTGTTTTCTGAATTCACCTCATCAGAAAAATCTACACTGTGGATTTAAAATGTTGGAAGTAATAAACCGAATAATTACATTGAAACATTGAAATTCAGTCATTTACGAAGCTGCTTTCTTGGAAAAGTTTATAAGAGTATTTTATTCTTGCCATTTATTAGTTGTGGGCTGTGTATGGTACTCTGAAATCCTTAGGTGAAAGGTTCTGGAAGTGTAAAAATCTATATGGTAAAGATGGTGTAATGCTGAATCCCAGCAGAGAGGTATGTTGTAAAGATTTGATCCTTGAATGTCTTTATGACTTATTAATGTGTGCTTGTTTAAGGATTGCAGGACTGCATAAGGAAAGCAGAACAAAAATCTTGAATATCTTTATATAAGTGTGAAATGAGTAAAATAAATGTGGCCAGCTAAAGCAGTACCTAATTTATGTAAGGTGAACGTTTATTTTTCTCACTTATTCTGTTTTTTGAGTTCTTTTTAAATGACACTTTGACATCTTTTATATAAATTATGCATATTAATGTAATTGTATTTACTTGTAGGTGGCTCTAACCAAGAGAGCTGATCCAGCTGAGTTGAAAACAATATTTTTGAAGGTATGTGTAAAGTAAATATTTTACTCTTTCTGCTTAAATTTTTTGTATCTTTTGCTCCATTATTGCAGCATACAATTCTTGATTTTTTTTTTCAACCGTTAATCATTCACTGTATTATTACCACGTTAGACTTAAATACCATTATCAGAATTGAACAATACTCACCAAGAAGCCACATACACTCCTGAGTGATTATTGTATTGACTCAGAAGAAGTATTGCTATCTTAGAAAAAACCCTCATTGTTCAGAGAATGTGGTGGGAGTTTCAGTATTGTTCCTACACATGGCAAAATGTTCGTGGAGACACCTTGCTGTTAGACCATTTGGTAAACTTTCTTCTTCCGTCCTTGTTTCCTTTCTTTCTTTAGGCTTATCTCTGCTTCTCTAATCTGTAGAAGTATTGGGAAGATCACCTTGTGAAGTGCTGGCCATATTTATTACATAACTAAAATTCTTTCTGTGTTGGCCTGTTGTACAAGTATGCAAGTGAAGAAATTACTCATATACTTGCTTGTGTACTTGAGGGAAGTGTGCTTTAGTATTTTGCTGGAAATTGGGAGGTGATTATCCAACTTTACTCCATTCCTGTGAGACCCCACCTGGAGCACTGCATTCAGCTCTGGGGCCTTCAACATAGGAAGGATATGAACCTGTTGATGTGAGTCCAGAGCAGGGTCACAAAGATGCTCAGAGGGTTGAAGCAGCTCTCCTATGAAGACAGACCGATCGTTCAGCCTGGAGGAGACTCCAGGGAGATCTCACTGCGCCCTTCCAGTACCTGAAGGGCACATGCAAGTAATGTAGAGAGGGCCATTTTACAAGGACGTGTAGTGAGAGGACAAGGGGGAATAGCTTTAAACACAAAGAGAGTAGGTTTAGATTAGATGTTAGGAAGAAACTCTTACTGTGAGGGTCATGATACCTGGAACAGGTTGCCCAGAGAAGTTGTGGATGCCCCATCCCTGGAAGTGTTCAAGGCCAGTTTGAATTCTATTCCTAGCCTTCCTAAGATTTATTAGTACAGTGTCTGTATTAGCTTGGTATTCTAGTATGAAAAAAAGACTACAGAAATAGGTGGTTCTGAATAATATATACGATGTAGGTGCCACAGTACTGAAGAGAGCTGTTGTATCTGAATTATTTTTATGAAGGTGTTGAGTGCCTAAGAGAGCTCATACATTTCCAAGTTCTTCTCCTCCACCTTCGCTCTCTCTGGTATCATGCCCCACTCTCCATGTACTTCTTGCTATGTTTTCCATTGTCCCTTCTGAGCTATTTTTAACAATATGTGTAGGTGTCAAAATGTATATTGCCAGTATTTATAGTTTTATCATATACTGTCAGTATTTATAGCTCTGAAATCAGATTTTTAGTTGAGAAAGCTATGATTTAACTTATTAAGTCCTGGAATCTTCTGTCTGTCAGGAGAGCAAAAAGACTCTTGAAAAAGAGTGGGTTATGTGATTTACAGAGATGTATGCTTAAAGAGCAGGAGCAGGGCAGCAGAAAAGGCACTCAGGGAGTAGACCACTGACCTGAGAAGATGGTAGCATTGAGGGAAGAAATAAGCACACTAGAGAGAAGCCTGGTCCCTTCTGCAGTATGAGGTGATGCTTATTTGGAGCAGGGGGAGGTTGGGTAGTTGGTTTGCTGAGAATAGTGTGAAAATGGTTTCCTACCTGCCTGTGGGCATTTCTGAAGGTTGTAGCACCTCACTATTTTGGTGGATTGAATGGATCTTACTTGAGCATGCTAAATACCACCTCTGGCTTCTTTTTCTTCCTTTTCTGCTTCCGCTTTCACTGAAAAGAAGGGGTCTCAATAATGTGGAGTAATGAAATATGAGCTAAATATTTTGTTCAGTGTAATACAGAATTGTTGTGTCACTTGCTAGTGGGAATGAAAAAGGATGAGTGAATGTAGTATGTTGTTTCATGCTCTACAGATAAACGATGGCCAGAGTGTTTTAATTAAGCTGCTTCAGATGATTTTAAGTGGTAAGGCCAATATAGTTGCTTCTGCAGATAGTGGGATCTTCACTTACAAGATAACTTGACAACCATTACTTCTACTTCAATTAAGAATTAAAAAATGTGATCGCCATGAAGGAGTGATACCCACAGTGTGGAAATAAGTATGAAACAATCAGTTTAAATACAGTTGATTGCAGTCAACTTTCAGCATATTTAATATATCAAACCCCCGATAAAATGTTTGCAAATCTTACTTTAAATGGGATTGAACTTGTTATTACTTCACTATCTAAAATGTATGTAAATAACTTACCAAAAAGCCATTAAGTGCTATTGTATACAATAGTAATATAAAATTCTCTGTGGGTGTAATTGCCAAAGTGAGGAAAAATAAAATTGTAAAGAACCAATTTTTAAATGTTTCTCTTCCAAACTCAATAGAGTTGATGTTTTTTTTTTCTTTTTGTTATGATAATTTCCAGGAGTACCTCTACTTTTTCTCAGTCTTCTACCATAACCCCTAAGAGATTAGATTTTAGTCAAAGTGATCAAGCTGACATTTTTCAAGGTCATTTTCTATAGGTAGTATAGAGTACGTGATTGGATTTCAAATACACTCGAGTAAATCACAATGGTAAGAAACAGGGGGACCTGAAACCTTGTGCTCTTTTCTGTTATTGAGTGCCCTAGCAGGGGGTTAGCCTGGATGAAAAAAATGAAATATAGAAGCATGGGCTGTCTGACTTATTTGATTTGTTTCTCAATAGCAGCTGTGTTAAAAGTTTCTAAGGCTGGAATTCTGAAGGATTCTGTCTTTCTGCAAATGATTATATTGAAATCAATTGATCTTTTAGTTCTTTTAAAAGTATACAATTCAAAATTCCTTGCAGTGTAGAAACTAGAAGGCTTGCGTTACAGTGTCTATTGAAACAGGAATCCTTAAGTGCTAACCAATATATAGATGCCAAAGCAAGTTAACGTTTTGTTTGGGCTTGATTCTCTGAAGCCTTGTTTCTTGAAGGTATTGTTGTACCTGAAAATGGTATTTATATAGCACTAGAAGAAAATAATCTACTTACTGTTACACTTTGGCATCCCTCTGAGAGTTATATGCCTACAGCAGGTATAACGGTATGCTGCAGGCACCGGTAAGAGATGAAAACTGGCAGTTTTCGTCCCTTAGCAGAGCCATAGTAATGTGAAAGAAAACATGTCTTTGAAGTACACTACAAAATAGCAATAGGCATCTAATTTATTTATTACTTTACTGTGGATAATGCTCTGTGGGGAGCTGCAACAATGGTTTATCATCCTACCTTGCCTTAAAAAAAAAAAAAAAAAAAAAAAAAAAAGAGAGAAATTAGCAGTTTCTTTCCTGTTCTCAGTGCACATTTGTTATCCCAAGACAGACCTGTTTCCTTTAAAGCTAACACATGGTTCTGCAAATACCTCTTCATTTTTTTCCTGTTAATTATTGTCCTTATCCTTTTTCTTTACTAGAAATACATTTTTAGGGTTGTTTTCAAATGTAACCTTCTGCAGAAAATGAGGCCTTTAAAATTTGGGGGATGAGCTAGGAATCAGTGTAGGGGTGGTAACCAAGGGAATTTTATTTATTTAGATATTATCTTCAAAAGTGTTAGTATTACTTTTATTTGTAACATGTTAATGAAGCTTTTCCCTTTGGAGTAAATATGCTTGGGTCTGTCAATAGCTGTTTTCTGGAGTAGTATGCCAGTAACTGTGGTGTAAAGCGGGAGTAATTTATGCCAGCGGTGTTTGGTAAGTGTTAGACCTCTTTTCTTTTTTCTTAGTGTGCTGAACTGTTCTTTTCTTTACATTTCTCTGTAAATTCTATTCTTTGGCTTCCTTTCAGCACTGCAACCACAGAGGAGTATCTGTAGATTCTCCTTTCCTTAGGGACCAGCTGTGGCTGGAGGTGGTGATGTGGAGTTCTTCAAAACAGCACCCCCAGGTGGACGCTCCTGTGGGATCATTTGCTCCACTGGCATTTTGCGGCTGTAATCCTGTCTTCTCATCCTGGAGTAGACTGACTACACAAAGGAGTAATTTCAGATAAATAAGATATACCAGACTATCCTATTGATGTCAGAGTTTCAGTGGGCCTGAGATGCCGCATACAATGCTTGAAAATGTGTGTGTGCTTCTTGTTCTACTTCCAAAAAAGTATTCAGTACTGGAGCATTTCTTGTCTTCCAGGGAGAAATTGTTGATGTGATAATCAAATAATCATATATTTGTGATTCTTTGGCTAGGAAGCCAAGTCTTCAGCTGCCTGAGTATTTCCCTCTTTTTCTAGACCTTGTTTGGGTCTAGGTTGTAGGTTCTTTTGAGCACAACTGTCATCTGCTGTAACATGGGCCTCCTGCTGACTGGAAACCATGGGTGGTGGTAATAAATGCCTGGAGAAGGATGTATGGAGGCACTAAATACTCTATTTATTTAACAGTATGCAAGTGTGGAGAAGAATGGAGAATTCTTCATGTCTCCTCATGACTTTGTCACACGATACCTGAAGATAATTGGAGATGGTTTGCCTAATGCAAGCACTGTACAGCTCCTTGCAGGTGTGGTGGATCAGACAAAAGATGGGTAAGTGGTTTTTTTGTGGCTTTGTTTTTGTTTTTTAGGTGGGGTTTTTTGTTTGGGTTCTTTTTTGTTTGCTTGGTTTGGGTTTTTGTTTTGTTTTTTTGTTTGTTTGTTTTTTTGTAGTTGATTGGTTTATTTTTATTTCTCTATTTTTCTTTGTTCATTTATAAAATACAAAACCATTCTTTCAAAAAGTCTAGTCCCTGAAGGGTGGTGGAGTTTTGTTTTGTTTTTCTCTTCCCCCCTGCAGATACATAAAGGAATACAGTATCTTTTAAGTATCAAGAGTAGAAACAGTGTTTTCAACTGCACCTACCATTTAGCGGCGCAAACCATCTTCTGTCTACTGTGTATTTTTAATTCATGGAACCTTTCATGTTTGTTGGCTGGCTCCCCAATTCCTGATTTTCTTTCCTTCCATGAGTCTCTCTGTCTCTGTTTACTTTATGTATCTGTCACAAACACATCCAAATTACAATCTAAAATAAGTTTAGATGGTGTAGGAAGAGATCCTAGAAAAAGTTACCCTGCTTTATTTTGCCATGACTCTGTTAAAGGTTTTTTTGCTGCTGTTTTTTTCCTTCAAGAGGGAGGAGGAGCACCTAAGGTATTTAGGGAGTCACTGCAGACTTGAGAAGACAGCAGTGAAGTTGGTTGCACATGGTTTGCATTTGAAAGGCTGACTTTGCCAATAGGCAAGATTAACTACCCCTCCATCTTCCTCCCCCTACTTAAATGAAATCTTAGCTTTTGCTTTTGGTACTTGCCCAGGCAAGCTGTCTCTTCATCCATATGAATGCATTTTTTGAACCCTCCCTTTAAAGTATCCTTAGAGAAACTTTAGAATAATTAGCTGTGGACTAAAAGTGTATAGTTGTGGCACTTTTAGAAACCAGAAGACTTCAGGCATGACTCATATCAGTGGTTGCAGAGAGTAAAATGTGAGATAAATAAAGTATGACTAGAGAATGCAGACTTCTTAGGGATAACTGAGAACTTCTGCTGTAGTTTCTGTGCTCTCTTTTCTGCTCAACCAGTTTCATGTATCTGGCAGCTTGGCACCTTAAACCTTGCAAATGAGTTAGTGTGGTGATTGTTACCCTTGTAAAAGAATTCTATAAAAGGTTATGTTGGTAACATTGATGGCATCAAGAAAGCAGTGGCTTCAGGTAATGTTCAACTGAAATGTTAAGCATTTCTCAGATTTCTTCCCTTGGTTTGATGCCTGCAAAAATGTCATTTTCCAAATTACATGGCTTCAAATCCGTTTTGTAGTAAGAAGATTGAGAGCATAATCCATACCTTGTGATTTGGATATCCCTCACAAACAGAAGCTGGTGTCAGGAAGAACAAAATGTAAAACTATAGCCTATGTGAACTTGTTGACAAGTTGGGATTTCATAACTTGGCATGATTTTGTGGGAGTTTTGTGGTGTAGTATTGAAGCTTCTAATTGCTGCTTTCTGCCATGGGCAAGGATTGTTTCTGTAATCCACACTGTGCAGTGACAGGGGACTGCATGTTTCTAATGTGTCTTTGGAGAGTCTCTTCTGGTGTTCAGGCTGTCTTTTTATTTAGCTGCTACACTAATATGTGAAAGAATAGAGAAAGTTCAGAAAGTGATTGATATCCATCTCTCTAATCTAGCATTTTTCAGCTTGTCCTTGTGGTGTATAACGTTATTGGCAGAGTAATCATCTGAGACAAGGGCCAGTTGCTTTTTGGTTCCTGGCATGAAATCTCCTAGAGGTGGAAACAGGACCTATTGGTCTTCTTCTTTTGCATGCTTTCCAACTTGGCAGGCCAGAGCTCCCAGTTTTTAAAGTGAAGCACAAAACTGCTTTTGTTAGTGTTTATTTTTAATAGGCTTGTCAGTGTTCAGAGACTTACACGTATTTAAGGTCATGAGATTATGTTCAATAATTTAGCTTTATTTCTATTATAAAATAGAAGGTATCTTGCAAGAGCAATGACAAGTTAATTTTGTTACAGTGTTAATGGCTAAAAGTAGTTTATTTCTGAGAATACTGCTAGGATATTTCTAGAAGCATTTTATCCACTGTCTTGGATCCCTGGTTTGCTCTGAAGAAGCAACTGTTGTTCATGAGTGGTGAGCGTGACCGTTTGTCACTAAAAGGGTCTGAGCCACGATCACAAGGGCTGTTCCTCTCACTCTTTAGAATACTTTTCAATTTATTATGGTTTTGGTAAGAAGGTAGGTATAGGTACCAAGTGTAATCAGTGTGAAATACTAAACTTGGTAAGTCGTATGGGTGAAAGACAGACAGCTCAACAACTTCTGACTCATGAGCAGACCATATAAATAGGCAAAGAATTGCTTACCTCATAGCTGAAGAAGATCTGAGTGTAGAGCAGAAAGAACAGCAGCTCTTACCTACAATCCCACAGTGTATTGTAGACAAAATCTCATGTAGCTTTAGCACAATTCCTGCATTGCCAGAGATTAAGGATTTGAGGGTGTCTACAGGAGCTGCTGTTGTTGTGACAAAGGTACAAGACCTCTTAAAGCATATTCTGTAATTCAGTGAATATCTGTTGCCATGGAAGCAAGTTTTGCCTCCATCTTCAGTCAGGGCAGAGGTTTATTTGGAGGTAGGCTTTCCTGCTGTTCTCTTCTGGAGGCATGTTTTTAAGGTTTCCTCTAATAGAAGGAAATAGTTGCCTTGCTGATGGCCAGATGAACCTTTCAAAGTAGTTGATTGGTAATAACACAGTTTTTTTAAATGTTATATTGCGTGGTTGTTGTTCGTATGGAACAGACTGAATAGCCTTGACTGGTTCCTGGCCTAAAGCCTCTCATTGCTAATCTTAGTTAAAAAATATGCTTTATTTGGCTTCAGCTGGATCAGAAATTCACCCAGAATACAGTGGCTTTCTCAAGGCCCATCAGCAGCAGGCCAGGCATTTTCCGTCCTGCCTACTGTAACATTGTTTTTCAATTTTTTGTTTTACTTTTAAACATCTCTCTAACAAAATAAGTATTTACTGCATGTCTCTGTTTGGACTGTAGTAACTAACACTTTACTGAGAAATACCATTGCTTTATTTTTAGAAAGGACAAAGTATTCAAAAATAACACTTGGAAATGCCAGCATTTTCCATTATTATTGGGTATAAATTTATCCTCTAATGCACCAATTTGCACTATACTTAGTTTACCTAGCTTGCAGTGTAAAATAATAGATGTAGCTTCAATTTGTGTCCCATTATGTTACCGTGTTTAAATTTCTGATACAGTAAAAACATATGCATTGATTTCTGAAGAAATCTCTTCATCATTGCATTTGTATGTATTATTACAGTGGGTAATGGCTTTTTTTCTTTGCATGGCTACATACAGACTTTCTCTGGTGGCAATGCATCATGTCTGTGTGGTGTCCAGATACCACGGGCGTGAGCATCAAAAGAAGCAACATGGAAGAAAGGAGAGAGCAGTAAACAGTGGGTTTGCTGTACCATACCCAGCTGTTGTGTTTGGACTGTAGCTCTTGTGTGTGGATGCTTTTAAAATATCAAGATATGAGCCTTCCTCAATAAATCATGCAGTATTGGCATTGATAATGAGGGTGTGAAGGTGAAGGAAGACTTTGACCATTTGGGTAGAATATCCTCAAAAGTGAAATAAAATTACATAAACATTTCAGATTCGTCTCTTTGTACTGTTAAAATCACTGGGTTTTTCTCTGCTTTTGTAACATAAATGAGTACTTGTTTAGGTAGATAAAATAACTCTTAAGTAGTATATTGAAGTCCATGTTAATATGTGCTGTTTAATGACACCTAATGTTATTCAGTGAAGGGCTATGGTAAACCCAAAAGGGTGATGCTAAACTGGAGAGAAAATGTGTTACCCAGGCAACTACCCTTGTGCAGTATAGAGAAGTGAGCATATGGCTATGTAGTACACATTATTTCAGCATCTTTAAGCATTAAGAATCACACGTGTAATTGACTGTGAAAAATTACTGCTCAGTTACTGTATTGTATGGTCATAATAGAAGTAAATGAATACGTCGTTGTTAGAATAGATCTGTTGGGAATCACTAGCAGGCTAGTCTACTTAGGGAGCAAAAATACAATAAGAAGAAAATAGCTGGTTTAATTAACATGTAAAAATTGGGTTAATTTGAATTCAGCTGGCACAGCAGATATTAATGTCTCTTCTTTAACAGTCTGGCTAGAGCCACACAATTTGTACACTTTTAATCTTCCTAGTACTGTGAATAACTGTTTTAAAAAATGGATAAAGGGTTATTTTAAGCATCTATCTGTGACTTGATATGGGGATTATTGCTTCCAAGTACTGAAAAAGAGTGCTTCTACCAGTATAAAATCTTGTAGCAGTGTTAATACATGGAGTTTTAATCAAATCCAGGCCTAGTAGCATAGAATATGTTCTTAACATGGTGGTGGGGTTCTACCAGTATAAGTAGCGTATCTCTTTTCTGTGATCTCATCACTGTATTGGGATCCACTGGTAGGGACGTGCGCGAGTTGTTGTTTCACACGGAAAATGGCTTTACCATAATGGTGTTGGCAAAGATTTTACATTTATAATTCTAAACAATCCTGTTCTAGATTCTTGTCAACTGCTGTCTGTTCTGTTCTTTCTCTGTGTGTGCATTATAATCTTTGGGACAGAACTCAGTGCTTTGCATCTGTTTACTGTTCTGTCAGGTATGTAATCAATAAAAATGAATAATAATGGCCCTTTATAGGCAGTAAAGTCACATTGTAACAGTAAATATATGTAAATGCATATTTGCGCATAGGTTGTGATATATTGGATTAAAATTGAATGAAATGTTACTTTTGAAAAAAATTCTTTTGGTTTAGAAGAGATGGAAGTTTTCTTCCTTTTAAAGGCTGAATATCTGTGTATTCTAACAGTGAGGAGTACTGAGAGCTCCCGAGGAGCTTAAAGTAAACCACTCGATGGCTTCCCCTGTGCTAAAATGTGCATATGTAATAAGTCACTGGCTTCTTTGCCAGTAAAGCCTAAGGTGTGCTTATATGTTTGCTGGCATCATCAGTTGTGAGCTTAATCTTAAGAATACCTGAGGAGGTTTCTTTTTATTCACTTCTCACACTACATAATAACTTATGGTGGCTAGTTCTCAGAGTTAATTTTTAAATTGTGTCATACTCTACATTTCTTTTGTTTATTGCATATATATTGAGGGAGGTAATGTAGAACAGCTTTTAGACCTTCTCTGTGCTGTGCTTTTAAAAAAAGTCCTCTTTTGTTCATCTTCTCATATTTTTACGTTCCTCATGGAAGTTAGCTTCTCTTACCCAGTGCATATTTGGCTACTGACATGCAGCAAGCACACTTCTGTGTGACTTGAAATTAATTCCTTTAAGGCAGGGTGACTGGAAATTGCTGTATAGTCATGGGTCATCATAACTTGGAACGAATATCTTTTCCAACCTGTTGAAACACTCAGTTCTTCACTGTTACTGCATTGCACAGAGTATAAGTTTTCATTTAACTGGCTGCAGTATTGTTTTGAGTCAAAGTCCTAAGGGTAGTTTCTAATAGAAACTATCAGTTTCTATTAGACAGTTAGTTTCTAATAGAATTAAAAAAAAAAAGGGTTTTTTGTGTGTTTATTGACATTTGGTACACTAAATTTTGTGTTTCTCAGAAATAAATCTTTGTTCTCCAGGTGCTGCCATGTGAACCCATTAAAGCTACACGCTGGCTACACTGACATACAGCAGCCTGAGAGAGGGTAATCTTAAGTCTCCCAGACTGCCAGCAGGCCCTGCAGCCACACTTTTGAAGATGATTTTAAACTGTACAACCTAGACATTAAAGAAGTAGCAAAACAGAAGAATGGTTGGCCTTTGCCTCTTTAAGAGTAGGAGTCTGATCTCCATTTGAACTCTTGGGTGTGACCCAGGGAAATTAGAACAGCTCAAGGTCTTTGCTGTTTCAAATCTAGTGCTGGAGACAATGCCAGGTTGTCTAATTAAGTATTTCTGCTTATGAACTAACTTAAGGAAGGGCATCTCTGCTTTTATCTGTGCTCTGCTACTGTGCTTGCATACAGGGAACCTGTCTGTAATGATGAATTTGAATAAACTGCTCTTGGGCTAAGGAAGAACATGCAGACTACTACTTGAAATTAATGATTCAACACGCAGGACTGGAGGGCTGTGATGGATGACTAATAAGTTGCTAGCAAACAGATAATGCATTCTGATCGGTTGCTTCTGAAGTGAGTGGCAGCGTGTAGATCTTGAATGGTTTTGCTTTCCAAAAGCCCTAAGTACTGAGTCTTGAGGGAAGTTACTCATGTCTTGATTACCTCTGTCCTAGCAGTGGAGAGAGGTAGGCTCTCCCAGAGGGCACTTCAGTTAGACATTAAAGCTGAGGTGAGTAGCCACACTGAGTGTTTTGCTTATTTTGTGTTCTGTTGTGACTTGCTGGAAGTAATAGTTCCTTGTCTAACAGACATTTCCGTCTAGTGATATGAAGACCTCCTGACAGCATTGAGGAGAGGGCATTTTAGGTTACATTTTAATCCCAATTGATAACATTTTGTACACACTTTGTTTGTGATCTTATTTCTTTTGTATAATGTACATTATATTGTATTTCAGTATTCTGCAAGCAAGTGGTTTCATAGCTCTTGCTTTTTACTTCATCTCTTAGGTTGATATCCTTTCAAGAGTTTGTGGCATTTGAATCAGTCCTGTGCGCTCCAGATGCGTTGTTCATAGTAGCCTTTCAGCTGTTTGACAAGACTGGCAAAGGAGAAGTTACTTTTGGTAAGACTGTTCTCATATATACATTCCTAATGTAAAAATCCATACCTATGCCAAACTATTTCACCTTCTATTTACTGTAGGAGATGCAGTGATTGGCAGTGGAACTACACTAGTGCCAAGCAGTTTTATGTCTGAATTCTTTTAATCATTTATGCGTGCACAGTATGAAGCCAAGGTCATGGTAATCATCACGGTTTTCTCTGGAGACCTGGTCACTTCTCTTCTTCTCTTCCCCAACATGCTTGTGCAGGTCTTCAGAAGAGCAATGAAAGGTGACTATAGGAAATGATTGTAAAACCACAGGAAAGTTTCCAGAAGACTTGGGTGAATGTTGGGTCTGAAATTATCCTGAATTATTTTTTGTTTAAATTGGCTATATTTCAAGATGGCTGAATTTTAAGGCTTAAAACTTTATTCTGTGAGATTTTACAGTAATAATTTATTTATTACATGTCCCCTTGCTCTGCCCTACCCCCCCAAATTCAGCTTGCATTGGAAGTGTGGTGTTTGTAATGATAACATAAAAAATACTCAGGCCACTTATAAACTTTATTAGGGAGATTGTTTATTTCTAGATAATCTAGAAACGGCTTTTGATATCTGTAGGAATATCTACCACCTGCCATTCTATCTGGAAAATCAGAAATTAGCGGTTTGTAATAACTTCTGCTATGGAGTTTGCTCTTCAAAAAGTATGGGGAATTTTTTTGTTAAGTACCTATAATGTATAAAACTGCTGTTTCTAGTCTACATTTGGACATGGTTATCCCTATGTATCAAGTTTTATTAATTGTTTGTTAAACAGTTTTAAGTAAAATGAAAATCGGATGAATTGACTCTGTCTTTTTGAAGTGTATAGTTTACACATCCATTGTTTTTTCCTAGTATTTCCCACCCACGTTTTATGCTCAGTTAAAAAAGCCCTTCCCTTTCCATTTGAACTAACAAGGTTCTGTTACCATTGCTTGAGGCATCATTGTATTCATTCCACTATCTCAAAAAATCTGTATTTGAAGTTGCAGCAGGTGAGACTTGCTGTCTCTTCTTGTGTCTGTTTTGTTTTTTCATTATTTTGGTTGTCTATTGAGGTTGTGAAAGACAGACTTTTTGTGTGCAATGTTTTAAAAGTTACTACAGATGCTAAAAGATTTGCAGGAATTTCAGGAAAAATTTCTGCAGATCATGACCTTGATGAAGGAAGTATTTTGTGCCTTACAGTCTTGTGTATGTGGACAGAGAGGCAATGAGAGATGCCATGCTTTTAAAGCAGGAGGGAGTGTGCATTTTGCTAAGGTTTTGTTCCAGAGAAGACAAGCCAGGGTTCCTGGAATGCCTGTGATGTGCAGGTTCTTGTCTGCGTCAGAGCCTCCGGTTGCTTGCAGTACTCATTAATAATCTCGGAAGAACTGTAGTCGTTTGATCTGACTGCTGAATCAGTCCGACTTAACTTTTTAACTCTTGGCATTCTTGTTCATATATTTCCTGCTGTCAAGTGCTTCCCCTGGGGTTTGACCTAGTGAGTCAAAGGATTTGTTTGGCATTTGAAGTCCTTCTAGTGATGAGAGAAAATCCCATGCCAGGCTATATTTAAGGTATTTGAAAAAAGAGACAAGCCAACATTGGCAGAACCTCAGATAGCTTTCTTTTAATTCCTTCATCTTCCCCTTTGAAACCATAAATGTGTTTGTAACTTCTGTATAGTACCTTGTGGCTACCACCTCAACAAATGCCTGGAGTGAGGAAGGTGAGAGAGCTGTCTCAGGGTTGTGCATTCTCAGCAGAAACGGTTGAGCTTTAGACAAAGCTCTCTTTTTTCCTATCACAAGAGAATAAAAAAAAAAGCTTTTTGAAAATTAAAAAAATAATATAATGAAAAAAAACCCTAATATTTTCATAAATAAATTATTAAAATACTGTCCTGTAGCTTTGGCACTCAGTGCCTTAGTCATGCATCTTTGAAGTTAATTATGAGATCTTTTTCCATTGACTTGAATGAGAGTGAGATCAAGTCCTTATCAAGGTTAGGAGACTTAAGTAGGGTTTTTGTATACTGTGGAATTACAGTGTGAAAAGAACAGAAGAAAAGGGAAAGGATCATTTTTCAGTATACTGCTGTTAAGTGTAGTATCTCAAGGGTCTCATTTTAAGTCTGTATCTCATTTTTTTTTTTTTTTTGTAAAGAAACAGCATGGCTTATCTGTGCAGTCATTGTTTTTCTGTATAGTAAAATAATGGTGTAAATATTTTAGCTTATACCAAACAGAATATAGGGCTTCTCAGGTGTGAAATTCACATTTTCTACTAAGCAAATTGTTCAAATCTTATTCTTCCACAACTGCACTTAGCTTGGCACCTTTGTAAAATGAATTAATAATGGGCTTTATGTCAATGAGCTTTTACACTGAGTGCCACATCCAGGCTGTGGATATTCAGAGAAATGTTCTGGTTAAAGGAGTTCCAGTATTTAACACTTTGCACATACTTTTCTTGAAAAATGCTGCGCTATAATGTTAGCTTCTGGATTGGAAATGCATTTGCATTTTAGCCATACATTGATATCTCTACAATTTTAAATGTTTCACTTCTTTCAAGTTGAAAGTTAACTGTGCCTAGTTCTTTGACAGAGCTAATATATATTTAAAAGGGCCGATCTGCAAGCGGTGTGGGTATGCGGAGGAGTGGGGGAAAGTATTTCTAGTTTATTGTTTTTTGTGGTGAATTAAATAGCCGCTAGTAAATTAGTGGCCGGTGCCTGACTGAGAGTACACCTGGCTGTTGCATCATGTCTTAGATTTACCTGCTGCTGAAGTGTCAAAGCTTTGACAGTTTGCAAGGAGTTAAAGCTCTCAGCAGGAAAGTGAGAGGAAGTTTAGCTGGCTTTTAAATTCGAGGCAAAGAGCAAACCATTGCTTCTTGCTGTTGAGTGTTGACAGGCACATAAAAGCTGATAATGTAAGTCCAGGGGTTTAAGAGACTTAGTAGAGTTGCTTTTTTGTCGTATGACTGTATTTTAATGCCTCATTAAAGAAGCAGAGCCCTTTGAAATTCTTTACTAGATGGCATTTAAAAAAAGGCAAGATGGTTGGGTAAAACTGTCAGTGTTTAAAAACTAGCTCATCGTAACCTTCATCTTTAATTTTGGATGGGTAAATGAAAAGATGGGACCTAACAGTTCTGAGCAGTGAATACCATAGCAGTGATATCCATGAACTGGAACTTTCCTTGTCTGATATCAATTCTCACAGCCCTAGAGAAGGGCAAAGTAAGTATTGTCCATGTTGGTTTTGCTCAGAGAAAGGGAGCAAAAAGAGATGTGGTGTGCCTGAGTCTGTGCTGCTAACCATCATGAATCTGGCTTTGGAGATTTTAATTCTGATTTGTTTTTAAGTAGGATTTCCCACCAGACATTCTTGCTCTTGATCTAAGTGAAATGTAGCTGTGGTATAGTATGTGATTTTATGGTTTTGGTTTTCTTTTTTGAAGGTCTTCTAATTCAATCTGAAGCTCTTTCGAAATGGATGCCGTGCTCTGTTGCTTTGAGAAATACGAGTATGCTGTAGAATGTCAGTTTAATTCTACAATTCTGTAGAAAAAAACCCAAACAACCAAACTATAACAATCCCCCTCAAACCCAGCAAAAACACGAAAAAGACACAAACCCCAAGTTTTTGTTTGTTAAGCATAACAACTGCAGAATTGAGCAATGTATTCTGCTTTTGTCTCTAAACAAGACTTTACTGACATGCAGGCAGCAGCTATTGTGGGTCTCTGCTTCTGTTATTAATTATATCAGTACAGTTCTTAGATAAACACATTATCTATTATTATTATTATTAAGGGTACATCTTAGTAAGCATTCTTGTTTGCTTATCTGATACTTGAATTGCCTGAATACTTGTTTGTAAACTTTCTAAAAGGACTAGCTCTTAATAGAGGTTTAAATAGCTATATAGCTATTGTGAAGAGTTTCAGAGTTTTTTCCGCTATGATAATGCTCTGATACTTTTTCAATATGCAAGAATTATTACAGGAGTTTTGTAATTGCTTTAATGAATAAAGATTTAGGTTCAGATTGTGTGAGGTAGCTCTTGCTTTTGTTACAGAGGGTTATTTATTTTGTGCTTTGCACTGTAATTGCTGATATGACTTGGTTCTTCTCATAGAATCTGAAATTCTTTTATTTCTTGCACAACACCTTGCTTAGTGATGCCCAGCATGCTACAGGCAATACCATGTAAAGCAAGGAAAAGCAAAATCTGAACCAACAAAATAAATTGCTGGGGCTGTTAAGCTTTGATCACTTGATAAACTGCAATATTTATTATTTATTAGTGAAATTTCCCTTGGTAGTTCAGATTGCTTAGAAACCATTTGTAGCTAGTGATGTGTTAGCTTACACATCACAGTTTCACCTGTACAGTGAAACATGTTGGTTTATAAATGACAGCTGCCTAGATATGATGATTCCAATGGTAACACTATAAATGCAAAATCTGTTTAGTCTCTGGGTTTTTTTGTTATTTGTACTGGATTTTGCACAAATAATTGCCAGTTTTAATTACAAAAGGATGTAAAGTAGACTTGTTAGTATATTTTTTTTTCGAAACAATTTTTGAAATCTTCTCTGACTTTTTGGCGAATTTCATCTTCTAGAGGTATGTCAACTTGGCAAGTTTTTATTCTGTGTGGTTTTTTTTTTTCTTTTAATGCTACATAACTAATGTAATATAACCAGACAGACTTTGATGCAGGCATCCTAAGTAAAATAGAGCCTGGTTAGATACAAAATGAATCTGTCATTCTAAATATTATGAGAAGCTTTGTCCTCTTACACTGCTGGGTTTCATTTGGTCAAGAAAATGCAATTTAGTTTTCTAAATGAAATTTAGTGTTTCAGTTTGTTCTTTGTTATTGGTTATGGCCTGTTGTTTTGTTGGGAATGATCATAGAATCCTCAAACAATTCAGGTTGGAAGAGACTGTGGCAGCCATCTGGTTTAA